CTCATGATGAATTTTCCTGATGACCAATGGTGTTGAGGATCTTTTCAAATGGTTATTGGCCATTGTATGTCTTCTTTGGAGAAATATCTATTCACATCCTTTGCCCAATTTTTAATTAGGCTGCCTTTTATTATTGAGTACCAAGAGTTACTTATGTATTCTAGATACATGTCCTCGATCAGATATATGACTTGACTTTGGCCCACTCTGTCAATTGTCTTTTCTCTTTCTCGATCATATCCTTTGACATACAAAATTTGTTCATTTTGAGGAAGTCCAGTTTATTTTTCTTTCATGGCTTATGCTTTTGATTTCATATCTAAGAATCCATTATCAAATCCAAAGTTATGAAGGTTTACCCCTATGTTTTCTTCTGTGAGTGTTATAGTTTAGCTCTTATCTTTAAATATTTGATCCATTTCAAGTTAATTCTTGTGTATGCTATGAAGTAAGAGTCTAACTTCATTCTTTATCATGCGGCTATCCAGTTGTCCCAAAACTATTTGTTTAAAAGACTATCCTTTCCCCCATTGGATGGTCTTTGCCCCTTGTGGAAAATTAATTGACCACAGACATATTGTTTTATTTCTGGTTATCAATTCTGTTCCATTCATATATATGTCTATCCTTATGTCAGTACCATGCTATCTTGATTACCATTGCCTTCTATTTTCTTTTTCTTTTACTTTTTTTTTTATTGAGACTGAGTCTCTGTTGCCTAGGCTGGAGTCCAATGTGCCATCTTGGCTTACTGCAACCTCTGCCTCCTGGGTTCAACCGATTCTCCTGCCTCAGCCTCCCAAGTAGCTGGGACTATGGTTGGCCACCACCACACCTGGCTAATTTTTGTATTTTCAGTGGAGACAGGGTTTCACCATGTTATCCATGCTGGTCTCGAACTCCTGACCTCAAGTGATCCACTCACCTCGGCCTCCCAAAGTGCCGGGATTACAGGCATGAGCCACTGCATCTGGCCTCCATTGCTTTCTAGTGAGCTTTGAAATCAGGAAGTGTTAGTCCCTCAATTTTATTCTTGTTTTTCAAGATTGTTTTGGTTATTCTGGGTCCCTTGAATTTCCATATGAGTTTGAAGATCAACTGTCAGTTTCCAAAAAAAAATTAACTGAGCTGGGACTCTGATAGGGATTGTGTTGAATCTATAGATAATGTTAGGGAGTGTTATCTTAACAGTGATAAATCATCAAATCCATGAACATGGGATATGTTTCCATTTTATTACAGCTTGTATATTTCAATTTCACTTACATAACTTATACACTAAAAACTATAAACTTATATACACATCCTTCCTTCCTTCCTTCCTTTCTCTCTCTCTCCTTTTTCTTTTCTTTCCCTTTTCTTTCTTTTTTCTTTCTTCCTTCCTTCCTTTCTCTCTCTCTCTCTTTCTTTCTCTCTTTCTTTCTTTCTTTCTTTCTTTTTCTTTCTTTCTTTTTCTTTCTTTCTTTCTTTCTTTCAGACAGTCTCACTCTGTTACTGATTGGAGTGCAGTGGTGCAATCTCAGCTCACTGCAACCTCTGCCTCCTGGGTTCAAGCGATTCTCATGCCCCAGCCTCCCAAGTAGCTGGAATTACACACATGTGCCACCATGCCCGGCTAATTTTTTAGCCAGGCTGGTCTCAAACTCCCGGCCTCAAGTGATCCACCTGCCTTGGCCTCTCAAAGTGCTGGGATTACAGTTGTGAGCCACCATGCCTCGTTTTTGTTCTTTATTTCTAAGCATTTTCTTCTTTTTGATGCTGTTATAAAGGGAATTGTTTCAATTTTATTTTCAGCTTGCTCATTGTAGCTATATACAAATAGAATTGGCCAGGCATCGTGGCTCACACCTGTAATCCTGGCACTTTGGGAGGCCAAGGCCGGACTATCACTTGAGCTCAGGAGTTTGAGAGCAGCCTGGGCAACATAGTGAGACCTTGTCTCTAATAATAAAATAAATAAATAAATGATTGATTTTTGTGTATTGATCTTGATGAACTTGCTGATTAGTTATAATGGCATTTTACTGGATTCCCTAGGAATTTTATTCACAAGATTTGAATCTTGTGAATAAGATCGATGTCTGTATTCTTTGATGCTATTGTAAATGGAATTGTTTTACAGACCTACAAAACACTTGTAGCAAAAACTGCTAGGACTGAAATGAGGAATAGACAAGTCCATAACTACTTGGAAACTTCAATATTCCTTTCTTAGTAATCCAATAGAATAGGTCAACAAATAATAAGGATATAGAAGACGTGAGCAACACTATCAGCCAATTTGATCTAATTGACATTTAGAACACTACCCAACAACAGCAGAATACACAGTTTATCCAAATTCACAAGGAGTATTCATCACTGTAAGCCATATTCTGAACCACAAAACAAACTTCAAAAAATTTAAAAATATTGGAATCATAAAATTGTTGAAATATCCAAGTATTTTCTTTGACCACAATAGAATTAAATTATACATCTATAATACAAGGTTATCTGTTAAATCTTTCAATATTTGGAAATTAAACATCATACTTTAAAATAATCCAGTGGGTCAAGAAGGAAGTGACAAGGGAAATTAGGAATATTTTTTGAATTGAATGAAGATGAAAACACAACATATAAGAATGTGTAGGATACAACTAAAGCAGTATCTAGACAAAAGTGTATAGCATTAAATGCTTCTTAAAAAAAGGTCTCAAATAATCTAAGTCTCCACCTTAAGAAACTATAAAAAAATGAGCAAATTAAACCCAATCAAGCAAAAGAAAAGTAATAAAAATAAGAGCACAAAACAATAAAATTTAAAACAGAAAACAGTAAGCAAAGCCAATGAAACCAAAAGCTGTTTTTTTTTTTCTTTTGAAAAGATCAATACAATTGATAAACCTCTAGCCAGGCAGATCAAGACACAAATTAACAGTATCAGGAATAAATGTGGGGACTTCACTAGAGATCCTACACATTTTAAAAGGTAAGGGGAAATTATGAACACTTTTATGTCCATGAATTTAGAATTTTAGGTGAAATGTAGAAATTTCTTCAAAGTCTCAAACTACCAAAGCTCCCTCAAGAAAAAATACTCCTATGCCTATTAATTAAATTCATAGTTTAAAATCTTCCAACAAAGAAAACTGCACTGAAGAATTCTACCAAGCATTTAAAGAAGATATAATACCAACTCTATACAAACTCATCCAGAAAGGAGGGCACAATTCCCAGTTTGTCTTATGAGACTATTATCCTGATACCAATAGGAGACAAAGACAATATATGAAACTGCAGACCAAGATTACTCATGAAAATAGATGCAAAACAAACAAGCCCATTCAAAAGTGGGCAAAGGATATGAACAGACACTTTACAAAACAAGACAAACATGAGGCCAACAAACATATGAAAAAATGCTTGTCATCACTGGTCATTAGAGAAATGCAAATCAAAACTACATTGAGAAACCATCTCACGCCAGTTACAATGGCGATCATTAAAAAATCTGGAGACAACAGATGCTGGAGAGGATGTGGAGAAATAGGAACACTTTTACACTGTTGGTGGGAGTGTAAATTAGTTCAACCACTGTGGAAGACAGTGTGGCGATTCCTCAAGGACCTAGAAACAGAAATTCCATTTGACCCAGCAATCCCATTACTGGGTATATATCCAAAGGATTATAAATAGTTCTACTATAAGGACACATGCACACAAATGTTCATTGCAGCACAGTTTACAATAGCAAAGACCTGGAACCAATCCAAATGCCCATCGATGATAGACTGGACAGGGAAAATGTGGCACATATACACCATGGAATATTATGCAGCCATGAAAAACGATGAGTTTGTGTCCTTTGTAGGGACATGGATGAACCTGGAAACCATCATTCTCAGCAAACTGACACAAGAGCAGAAAATCAAACACCACATGTTCTACCTCATAGACGGGTGTTGAACATTGAGAACACATGGACACAGGGAGGGGAGCACTACACACTGGGGTCTGTTGGGGGAAATAGGGGAGGGACAGTGGGGGGGTGGGGAGTTGGGGAGAGATAGCATGGGGAGAAATGCCAGATATAGGTGATGGGGAGGAAGGCAGCAAATCACACTGCCACGTGTGTACCTATGCAGCAATCTTGCATGTTCTTCAAATGTACCCCAAAACCTAAAGTGTAATAAAAAAAAAAAATAGATGCAAAACATTGACGCAGAAAGTAAATATAGTTGCTACCTTGGCAGAGTGGTATTGACTGGAACGGGGCATAAAGCAACCTTCTGTTTTGTTGGAAGTGTTATCACCATCTAGGTAGTTTTACATGGGTTTGAACACATGTAAAAATTCATCAAGCTGTTTAAGGTTAGAGCACTCCATTCAGTTTGTTGTATGTATGCTATACCTCAAAACATTTTTAAATGTTCAATCTACCAAGAAGGATGAGTGAAAACTGTCTCACGTAGTTTGTTGTATGACACCTGACATGAGATTATTTCTATGCTGATACCCGAGAAATCCTGTTGACTAATGAAACAGTTTGGAAACTCACCTCTATTCTGCTTAAAATAAAATCACAGTTAGTTTATGTAGCCACTGTATCTTCTTCTGGTTAACTCAGCCATTAGAGTGAGCACCAGCCCAGTTGAAAGTTCACAAGAAGCAAGTAAACATTGGATTTGAATTAGAGTCAATAGCAGCAGGATTTTCTCAGGCTATTTAGAAGCATCATGGCAATTGTTTAAGAAAATATAGGTAGTTCTAGTGAATGCACTACAGAATGTTGGAAGTAGTGGTGAGCTTATTATATATTTCACAATGTTAGAATCAAATTTTAAAAACAAAAAATAAAATATTAGAATCTCTCTACAGCAGTTGAGGATGACCTTCAAATTGTAAGTAAAATTAATTTTCCTTGAAAGCAAAACCTCTCCGGTTAGTGAGATTACAACCAAAGAGAATAATAAAATATAATCACAAAGAATGTTGCATTTTTGCCTCTTTCTTAGGGGACTTCTCAAATGATTCATGTGAGAAATTGCTTCTGCTGTATGAGTTTGAAGTTAGAGCCAAATTGAATGATCCATCACTGGAAAGCTTCCTGGAACCAGTGTGGGAGCTGCCTCATTTAGAATGTAAAACATTTGAAACAATTGCAAGTAAGAGCTATATTTATGCTTTTGTAAGCCTGGTGCCCATTTAGATCGTATCGTATGACTTTTTTTCTTTCTTCTCTTTATTCTTCTTTCTTACCTCCAGGTAGGAAGAAGTTTTTCTTCTTAGAACTTTGTTTCTCCTTCTCTAATGCCAGTCTTAGACTATTTTGTATTACAATCATTTGTGCATTTATCTTCTTCACTCTATGAGATTATAATCTCCTTAGGGTCATAAACAATAGTTACTTAATGTACTTACAAACCCTGGCAAAGTTCATTGTTCCTAGTAGGTGATCAAATTTTTTCTGTGTGGAATTTAATTACGTAACTACATAATAAGGGGAGCTCAAACTTGAGAAAGTTTTTCTGAGATAGCTAGAACTAACAGTGATTCAATGATCAAAAGTGATACAATCTCAGCAATTTGTTGAAATGTAAAGAGAAATACTGGTAATATATATTTTTTAACACAACTGCCACTCTCAAATTTCAGGATGAACTTTAAGTGAGTTTAGGAACTTAGAGCCTTTTTGGGCATACACTGCAGGAAACAGCCTCATTATCTTCCCTTTTTATCCCACACCTTCTTCAGGAGTGTGAGTGTGGTTAATAAAAATATTAGGTAACTCCAAGTGCACAAGAATCACATTTGCCTTTCCTTGATCTTGCCAAGACATAATTCCTAGAGCCATGGAGCAGATGATATATACTTTATGGGAATGTGACAATTACCAGTGCTCCTTGTATAATGGAACTCCAATTCTAAAAATCTGTTAAATGCATCTGGAAGTCTTAGGGTTAGTTACCTCTGATACTCCCTTGTCAAGTGTTTCCTATTTTTAGTATCAGATAAAAATAGGACATTTTAGTATAAACCTGTTTTGATTAGTGCCCTTTTACTGATCTGCTTTCTATTTCCTTCTTAGTGTGTCCTTCCTTGACTCTCATTCATAAGATACTGCTTCACCTGTATGACTGTGTGCAAGGTCATAGAAACAATAGGTTTTCTGTTGATGTTTGCTGAAAAAAGGATGTTACCTGGTAATCCCACCATGCTGCTCTGCCAAGAAAGTAGAAGCTATTTACAAAACTGGTTGTAGATTCATCATTTATAAAATGTATTGTTGTTTGTTTGTTTTTTGTTCATCTATTTCAGCCAAGTTTCATCAGAGAAAGCAAGTGGTAGCCTGGGATGAAAACTGTGATGGATGACATTATGATGTTCACAACCTTTTTCCTTTTCTTCCTCTAGTAATAGCAATGGAAACGCCTGCACACTACCCTTCCATTGCTCTCAAGGCCTTGAAAAAGGCTTTATTGCTCTACAAAAAGGAAGAATCAATTGATATTTCACAATACAGGTGAGTAAATATAATTCAAAACTTAATCCAGTTTTTTGATAGCCAAAAGAACTATAGTCAATGTCTCATAAGTAACCAATCATTCTTAACGGACCCAACTTAAAAAATGACATGGGGATGATCTGAGGGCACTCTTGTGAACAGCTCCATACTGAGAGTTGTATTATAGACCAATAATTATTCAGCAAAGTCAAGGAGCTTGGGTTTCCCAAACGAGAATAAAAGGGGAAAAGTTGCTTCTTTGTGTGAATCTGTATATATAATAAAACTGCTAAGTACCTTTCTTTCTTTGTTTCATTACTAAATAATATTCCAAATGTATAGAAAAGTACAGAGGTTAATATAGCAAACACCAATGTATCCACCACCCAGATTTATTTGTTTTATTTTACAGATGGAGTCTCATGATTTTGCCCAGGCTGGATTCGAACTCCTGGGCTCAAATGATCCTCCTTCTCAGTTTCACGAGTACCTGCAATTACAGGCACACAGCACCCAAATTTAACAAATGTTAACATTTTCCTGTTTGCCTCATTTTTTAAGCACTTTGAGCACCAATAAGTGCTATATAAAATATTATCTATTGGGGACTTTTTTGTTTTCTATGTCCAGACACAGGGAAAAATAGATGTTGTGTGACTTTTTTGTCTGGAAAACATCATTACAGTCTTCCTGTTTTAAGACATGAAAGACAGTTCTTGTGGAATCATTCCACTTTAAATGCCAGTTCCCTTGCCCATTTGAGGAAGTACCAAGATGATTTAAAATGCCTGTAAATTGAACCAGCTCATAAAATATAATAGACAGCCACAACTCCTTCGTGCAGGAAGCTAAAAAAAGAATGAAAGACAACCATAGGCATGAAAAAAGAAAGGATTGGTCAACCTGTTTTACGGCTTCAAAAATCTGTCTTCTGAGGTTGGAGGCCAGATACAATCAAGGGAAGAACAGAAGTGTTTTGAAGCTGTTAGTCTGGGATGAGATCCAGATTTTACTTATCTTAGCCATGAAGCCAATGATTTCTTTCCTTATGGGATGAGTTTTCTCTTTTTGATTTTTAGCAAATGTATGCACAACTTGATTAACCTCTCAGTGCCAGATGGGGCGTCGAGTATAGAGCTCTGTCCGCTGGAAGAAGTTTGGGGCTTTTTTGAAGATGCTCTGAGCCACATTATCCGCACTGTAAGTCAAATAGTAATATTGAACTTTCGGTTAATTTTAAAGAACTGAACTGTCTTGTGTACTACAAATTATATACAATAATGCTTTCTGATATGAGTTTTAGGATAAATTCATATTATAATTTTGTAGTTACACACTACAGAATTTTCCTAGGTTTCTGAAATATTAATAGTTGAAAGTAGATATTTTCTAACACAAGTGTATTATGGATTAGGTCAAAATAGCAGTACTACCAGGCATTTTGAATTATTTTATATTTTCAAATCATGGTGGGATGATTACTTCCTCTGTGATGATATGAACCTTTTGAAAAGGTTATTGCTATTCCCATCCTTTCTCAGAGGCAGGTGATAGAGTAGAAGGGACATTGAAAACCTGTATTCTAGTCCCTCCTCTGCTGATTTCTTTTTCTTTTCCATGCAGGTTTATTCAGTGGTTTTAAAGTTAGCTTTCCTGAGATATAATTTACATATCATAAAATTCACCCCTGGCTTGTGCACAATTCAGTAAATTTATGGAGTTGTGCAATTAACACTACAATCCATTTTTTTTTAATTTAAAAAAATGTTTTTAATTTTTGTGGGTACATAGTGGTATATATATTTATGGGGTACATGAGATATTTTGGTACAGGCATATAATGCATAATAATCACATCAGGATAAATGGGTTATCCATCGCCTTAGGCATTTATCCTTTATGTTAAAAGCAATTCAATTATACTTTTAGTTTTTAAAAATGTACAGTTAAATTATTGTTGATTAGAATCACCCTGTTGTGCTGTTAAGTACAGATCTTATTCATTCTAATTTTTGTACCCATTAACCATTCCCACATTTCCCCCTCCCCTCCTCTGGTAACCATCATTATACTCTTTGTCTCCCCAACAGTTCAATTATTTTAATTTTTAGCTTTCACAAATAAGTGAGAACATGTGAAGTTTGTGTGTGTGTGTGTGTGTGTGTGTGTGTGTGTGTGTGTGTGTGTGTGTTGGGCTTATTTCATTCAACATACTGACCTCCAGTTCGATCCATGTTGTTGCAAGTGACTGGATCTCATTCTTTTTTATGGTTGAATAGTGCTCCGTTGTGTATAAGTACCACATTTTCTCTATCCATTCATCTGTTGATGGACACTTAGGTTGCTTCCAAATCTTAACTATTGTAAACAGTGCTGCAACAAACATAGGAGTATAGATACCTCTTTAATATACTGATTTCCTTTCTTTTGGGTATATACCCAGCAGTGGGATTGTTGGATCATATGGTAACTCAATTTTTAGTTTTTTAGGAACCTTCAAACTGTTCTCCATAGTGGTTGTACTAATTTATTTTCCAACAGTGTATGAGGGTTTCCTTTTCGCCACATCCTTACCAGCGTTTGCTATTGCCTGTCTTTTGGATATAAGCCATTTTAACTGGGGTGAGATGCTGTCTCATTGTAGTTTTGATTTGCATTGCTCTGATGATCAGTGATAGCAAGTACCTTTTCATATGCCTGTTTAACATTTGTATGTCTTCTTTTGAGAACTGTCTCTTCAGATCTTTTGCTTATTTTAAAACTTGATTATTAGATTTTTTTCCCTATAGAATTGTTTGAACTCTGTATATATTCTGGTTATTAATCCCTTACCAGAGGGGTACTATGCAATTATTTTCTCTCATTCTGTAGGTTGTCTCTTTGCTTTGTTGATTGTTTCCTTTGCTGTGCAGAAGCTTTTTAACTTAATGTGATCCCATTTGTCCATTTTTGCTTTGGTTACCCATAATACCTTGTGGGGTATTGCTCAAGGAATCTTTGCCTACTCCAATATCCTGGAGAGTTTTCCTGATTTTCTTATAGTAGTTTCATAGTTTGAGGTGTTAGATTTAAGTCTTTAATTCATTTTGATTTGATCTTTGTATGAGACAAGACATAGGGATCAAGTTTCCTCCTTCTGCATATGGATATCCAGTTTTCCCAGAACCATTTATTGAAGAGACTCTCCTTTTCCCCAAAGTATGTTCTTGGCACCTTTGTCAAAAATGAGTTCACTGTAGATGTATGGATTTATTTCTGGGTTTACTATTCTGTTCCAGTGTTGAGCTGCCTGAAGCTGGAGGAGGGGTGATACAAGCACCCTTGTTACCACTACCACTGGGACTGTGCTGGTCAGACCTGAAGCCAGCACAGCACTGGGTTTCACCTAAGGCCCACTGTAACCACTACCTGGCTACCACCTATGTTTGCTCAAAGGCTTAGGGCTCTACAATCAGCAGGTAATGAAGCCAGCCTGGCTGTGTCCTTCCCTTCAGGGCAGCGACTTCTCCCTGGTCCCAGAGATGACATGCAGTAGCCAGGGCCTGGAGTCAGAAACCCTAGAAATCTACCTAGTGCTCTATTCTACTGCAACTTAGCTAGTACCCAAACCACAAGACAAAGTCCTTCCCACTCTTTCCTCTTTCTTCATGCAGAAGAGCCTCTCCCCGTGGCCACCGCCACCAGGTGGTATGGGGAGTTCTGCCAGGCTACTGCCAGTATCCACTTAAGGCCCAAGGGCTCTGCAGTCAGCTTGTGGTGAATGCTGCCAGACCTGGGACTCATGATTCAGAGGAATGAGCTCCTCTCTGGCCCAGGGCAGATACAGAAATGCCATCCAAGAGCCGAGGCCTGGAACCGGGGACCCCAGGAACCCACTTGGTTCTCTACCCAACTGTGACTGAGTTGGTATCTACGCTGCAATATAAAGTCCCCTTTTCTTAAGCAGGAGGAGTCTCTCCTCATAGCCATCATAGCTGGGAATGTACTGGGTCACACCTGAAGCCAGCATGTCTCAGAATGTCACCTAAGGCCCACAGTATGTACTACCTGGCTACTGCTGCTGATCATTGAGGGCCAAAGTGCTATTTATTCAGTGGGTAATGAACCTCGTCAGGACTGGGTCCTTCCCTTCAAGGCAGTGGGTTCCCTTCTGGCCCAAGGTATGTCTCAAAATGTTATCTGGGAACTAGGGCCTGGAATGGGGTCCTCATGACTCTGCCAAGTGCCCTGTTCTACTGTGGCTGAGCTGGTATCCAAGATGCAAGACAAAGGCCTCTTTATTCTTCCCTCTCCTCTCCTCTAGTGGAAGGAAGGGGTCTCTTTGGGAGCTGCAAATTGCACTGCCTGGGGTTGAAGGAGGGGTGGTGCAATCACTCCCTTGACTGCCCTGGCTAGTCTCTCACACCACCACCCCCGGCCCCAGATACACTGGCTCCAAGCGCAGCACAGCTCTAGGACTTGCCCAGGAGTTGCAGTCCTTGTGGCCTAGGCTGCCTCTCAAATTTATTTGGAACACCAGAGCGCTTTAGCTCTCAGTGGCAAGGCTTGTTACAATTCAAGTTCCAACCACTGAGATGGACAATTGCTCTCTCGCTAAGGCTGGTCTAAATACTCCCTCCATGGGCATCAGCCTTGTTCTGCCCAGTGTTGCTTTCTGCTGTGACAGGGCAGCACTGAGTTCCAAGCAAGGTCCTACAATCACTGTGCTCTCCCTTCCCCAAGCACACAGATTCGCCATCACATGCATAGGAGAATGGTGGCATTGGCAATTCAAGATTGTCTTTCCTACTCTCTTCAGTGGCTCTTTCAGCGATATGAAGTTAAAACCAGGTGCTGTGATCACTTACCTGATTTTTTATTCTTCTTTTTTGTGTAGATAGTTGTTAAATTTGGTGTTCCTACAGGGAGGATGATTGGTGGAGGCTTCTATTCAGCCATCTTGCTCTATCCTTCCTCCCACAATCCAGTTATAGAACATTCCCATTACCCTAGAAAATTTCCCCTTGCCCATTTGCAAACAGTCCTTGCTCCCACTTTCAGCTCCAGTCAACCACAGATCCACTTTCTATCTCTGTAGATTTTCTCTTTCTGGACGCTCATATAAATGGAATTATATAATGCGTATCCTCTTGTGTCGGGCTTATTTCATTGAGCATAACATTTTTGAGGTTCATCCATGTTGTGACATTATCAGTATTCCATTGCTTTTTTGTTTGCTGAATAATATTCTAGTGAATGGATGTAACACACTTTGTTTATCCATTCATCAGTTGATAGATATTTGAGTTGTTTCCACTTTTTGGCTATTATGAATAATGCAACTGTAAACATTCATGTACAAGTGTTTTTGTGGACATATGTGTTTAATTCTCTTGAATATATACCTAAGAGTGAAATTCTTGGGTCATCTGGTAATGCTATGTTTAACTTTTGGAGGCGCTTCAGTCTGTTTTCCAAAGTGGCCATACCATTTTACTTTTCTACTAGCAATGTATGAGCATTCCAATTTCTCTACATTCTCATCACTTTTTATTGTTCATCTTTTCTTTTTTTGTTATAGCCATCCCAGTGGGTGTGGAGTGGTAGCTCATTGTGGTTTTGATTTATATTCCTTGATGGCTAATGGTGTTGATCATTTTTTTCATGTACTTATTGACCGTTTGCATGTTGTGTTTGTATAAATGTCTATTCAATTATTTTACCATTTTTAAAATGGGATTTTTTATTGAGCTGTAAGAGTTCTTTATGTTTTCTGGATACAAGTCCTTTATCAGATATATTATTTGTAAGTATTTTCTCCTAGTCTCTGGCTTATCTTTTCATTTTCTTAAGGGCATCATTTGAAGAATCAAAGGTTTTAATTTTGATTAAGTCCAATTTATCAATTTTTTTGTGGGTCGTGTTTTTTATCATGCTGAGAAATCTTTGCCCAACCCATTTAGAAAGATATTTTCCTATGAGTTTTTGTAGAAGTTTTCTACTTTTATCTCTGACATGTAGCTCTATGAATCATTTTAAATATTGTTATAGTGTGAGGTAAGGGTCTAAAAGATTTTTTTGTTTGTTTACTGTTGCATATGGGTATCACTCCTCTGCTGTTTGACTTCACTTTTCTCATTTGTAAAATTGGAATAATACCTGATCTGACTCTCCTACACTGGGGTTGTAAGGATTGATAGAATTAATGTATGTTTTGTAAA